AGTGAATGTTATTCCCCCCACCACCCGACCCTCTCTTCCCTTTTGAGGAGAAATTCTAGGCAGAGGTATTAGAGGCTGGGCTGTGTGCAGACTCAGGGAGGTGTAACAGTGGGGTAACCAGCCAGTTGCACTAAAGCTCTGGGTATCCCTGTTACATCACTGATGCCAGTGTTATTTACAGAGATGATGAAAACAATCTGGTTACTTTCCGCTGCAATCTGAAAGACAGTTTCCCTTAGCCATACCTAACCATAAGCAATTTTACCGAGTGGAAAATGTTTGACATGATCACACTGAAGCTGTCTTGAATGAATGAAAGAATACAAAATGAGTCAATGAACACACATGTAAATTTTAAAGGACAGGGGAACGGCTAATTTGAAGGACAGGGGAAAGGCCATCTATTTTCACATCGTAACTCCAGTTGTCCTGGAACCCGTCCCTTGCATTAGATGCTCTCCACAGTGTGTGCTGCTCTTCCCTCCTCCTTCTTAATGTCCATATGCCCCTCCACTGAGCACGGCTGATTCCAGAGTCCTGGAGCAAAGACTGGGAAATCAGCAGGTGCCCTCACTGTGTACCAGCCATTTTGGAGCAGTTCAAGTCATTAAGGAAAATTTTAACAATGCATAACCTTTTGGCTTTACTCTGCTCACAGCAGGTTAGCGTGCCTTTCCAAGACACCCGCCTGCACTGAAGTCACCAGTAAGCAGGACTTGACCTTCATTTTCAGGATGAGCAGCATTAAATATTCATAATCCACGGAACTGCAGCATAAGAAGTAGCCAAGTTTACACATGAATCAAAGGAATACATTGCTTCACATGGGTGGGGCATCCCTTTCCAAGAATGCCCCTGGAAAAAAATGCAAATACCCAGGACCCTGAGCCTCTGCCTCTTCCTACTTTCTCTTGAAATTCTAGAAGCTGCAGGAACTGCTACATTATGCAGTCCCTGAATCCTGCCCTCATGCTGACATTTCTGGGTCTTTTTTTCCCCTTATCTATTAGAGAAGAATTACTGTTCCTATGCCAAAGGGAAAAATAGACAGGGATGGAACCAGCAACGGTGACATTATCACCCACAGGGCGTCTAGGGGCACTTTTGACTCGGTTGTATAATTTTTTAAAAAGCTCTTTGCTTCACAGAGGATCAGAGTGTGTGGGAGGAAAGGGTGGGTGTAGATACCAAGAGACATCAGAATTAGGAGCTGGAGTGCCTTAAATTGGGCACCTTTAAAAAGAATGAAAATTGCTAAGAGGGTAAATCCTAAGAGTATTTGTCACAAGAAAAAACAATTTTTTTTCTTTCTCTTTAATTTTGTATCTGTATGAGATGATGGATGTTCACTAAACTTAGTGGGGTAATCATTTCATGACACATGCAAGTCAAATCATTGTGCTGAACACCTTAAATGTATACAGGGTTGTAGGTCAGTTATATCTCAATAAAACTATAAGGGAAAAAGAAATGGAGTTCCTTGGGGGCAGTATCTGCCTCGTGTAGCCAATTTAGTATCTTCGGGGAATGGAACTACTGTGTGTGGCGGGGTTAATGCTTCTCCGTGTCTGTTAAGGAACTGACATCTGTGTCTACCCAAAGACTAGGTGGAACGTCTCCCTCTGCTTGGGTCTTTCTAGAGAGCCTACTGCTGGGATGATAAAGCATCATTTTAACACAGTTTAATGTAATTCTCTTTGGCTTCCAGCTCCAGGAGCTCTGAACACAGTCTGTCTCGGCCAGACAGTAATCACGTGAGGCTACACAAGTAATTCTGCGGCGACCACTCTAAAGAAAATTAGACCCAGAGAAGGGCTTCGCAAACCGCTGAATGAAAAAGACCTGCTCCGGGACCCATCTGGTCCTAAGGATGGGAAAAGAAAGAAGTGAAGGTGAGGATGTCTTTGTCCACTGCCTCTTGACGGTGAAATAGGCTTTGAAAGGTTAAAAAAGATCAGAAACTCACCAGTTATAGTATGTATCTGAACCTCCTGTCCCCTCGCAAAACCTGAATTACTGGCCTGCCTCGACCCTGAGCCGGCTGAGCAGGTAACTGGAGCCTGCTTTCTGTGTCAACATGCATTCCTTGCACTATTAAAAAGGCTGAGTGCAGAGAGCCTCACATCTTGAACTTGTGCTGCTGGGGCACTCCCCACCCCATCGGGGGAGGCCAGCTCTGGTTGAAACTCACCAAGACAAACCGTTTCCTGGACAATGTCTCGTGTCCGCCCAATGAGGTTCACACAAGGGAAAGCCTATATGTTATCTTTGACTTATTTACTTGACGGGTATAAATACTAACTAAAATTCATCTGAAGAATACTAGGTACGTTTTCCCAGGGTGATGATTTAGTATCACTGCCAAGAAAGTTTAAAGCTCTCTTTCCAAAATGCCCAGATGGCCAACCAAACCATGAGTGTGTATAGCCCATGACAGTTTTGAACCAAAGGGATGTATTTTAACAATTTTACATTCTGCTTTCTTGCTCGCTTTTCATTTGCATCTTATATGTGGATAGAATTTTTTATCTTGTTTACCATGCTTGATTATAATTTGTCTAATGAGCTCTTTTTTTATTCCTGGGAATGAATCTATGGCTTCTCATGGAGGTTATCTTACAGATTCTACTTCAATGTGCCCCTTGACTTACATTGAGCGAGCTTGCTGGCTTTCCCCAGGACGATGGTAGACCCTTAGTATTGACTATGCTGATGAGGTGACCCACGGGAAAGACTTGGGGTTTTGCTTCAGAAGCAAATGTAGTAATTCCAACAAAAAGCAGGAAGGGCTACATAAGTAAAAATAAACTCTTTTTATAAACAAAGGCTTACTATGCCAAACCACAGTTTAGTGACAGAGAAGAAAAGCTGAAGCTAGGACAAAGCTAAAACAGTCCCCAAGAAAAGTGAGGACAATCCTTCTTCTAAGATTCTTGGCAATTTGGCTGGGAAAATTTGAGAGCGGGACTGACGGTTCATCCTTGGAATTGACTCTTTGCAAGTCCATAAAAGAAACCAGGACCAGAGAGGGTTCCCGGTGCTGGCTTTCCCAGGCTCAGCAGAATCATAACTAAATCCAAAGGACACTGAGGTGGTGTACGACATCCAGGAAAGAGCGTCTTGCCTTGGAAATTCCATCCCTTTCCATCCTCTCACATGGGGCCGAGAACACTAGGACTTAACAGAGCAAAAGACCACCCACCCTATAGTAGACACTATTGAAAAAAAGGACACAATTCAAGTCCATCTAACAAGAGCATTTTATTTCTGAGAATTACAGAGGTGCAAAAAGGGGGAAACCAGGAAAGGAGGTGCCGAGGCATCTGTCCATCCAACTGGTCACCATACTCACCTCCACATAAGGTTTGTCTGTCCAGGGCACACAGATGACATGCCCGAACCTACTTCCTGAGCCCTGACATAAAAGCTGAGGCATGGTTTCTTGTGCCCGGTGACTTGTGAGAGCATTCCTCACTCCTGGGGAGAGAAGGGAGAAAAAGACCAGGGGCTTTAGAAGATCTTTGATCCAATTCAAATATGATCAAGAATTATTAAGAAGAGATATTTAAATGGGGCTTACCTTCAATGACAGACCAATTGGAGTTTTCCAAACTTAAAAAGCTCTTCTCTTTCTGGGCCAGGAAGAGCTGATGGAAAAGCCTGTGGCTCCTGACTCCTGGAGGACTCTGAGAGGCCCCTCCACCTGAGATGGGCGAGGCAGCCCAGCTCTGTGCGTGGGGATGGGCTGAGGGACCTCCGATACTCTCAGCGGCAGCTGATGCCCAAAGACGGGTGATTAGAGGACACATTTCCTTTATCTTCTCCGACGTGACTTTGGCTCAGCACCCAAATGCACACAATCCTTTGGCTGGTGACCAGTGATGCTGAGAAATTCAGAGTTTAGGCATGCACGAAATTGCTACCCTCTGGAGCCACGGAAAATGAGCGCTAAGCTCAGAATCCAGGCGCACCAAGGTCTGAGCCAACAGGGACACCAAGCAAGTTTCCTCTGATCAAACTCCAGCATTCAGGTGTGCTGGGGATCAAGTTGAAGGGATAAAAACACTCTCACAGTGGACAATGCAAGCAAAGAGCTCAAGGCCACTGTCCAGTTGTCAATTCATGTCACCACAGAAAGGAGTCAGACCAGCTCCGCTCCAGTGTCCCAGATGCTGTCAGCTTCAGGCTCGCAAGAGAAGACTTGAACAAATGATGTCCCCAGTGGGGACCCCTGCAGGAACTGGCCAGAACTGGCCATCACTGAGCAGCTCTGCTCAGTGCCCTCTTCTGCCTCCTCAAAAGCCTTTACTGTTTGTGGCACAGAGAGACCTCACCCCAGGCTCACCCGAGAGCACCAGTTCCCTCAGTTGGCACCCCAGGGGTCTGCATGAGTGTCCACTAGAGGAATTTTCTGATGGCCACGGGCTTCCACCTCTGGGCGTCATCACAAACTCCTCCGTCCCACCTCCTTACCTTCACGAGTCAAGAAGCACCAGCAAGTGATGCTTCAGCTGCATATTTGGTTGGCAGGTGCAAAGGAGAGTGAAGTACTTTCTAATCTGACTTCTAATAAGAGTAAAGCATTGGAAGCCCTAATAAGGAAAGGATCCTACCACCAAGGCAAGAATGGCTCACACCCTCACTGGTTGGACAGAGTGAGCCTCCCAGAGGTTGCAAATTCACATCAGAGCCCTCTTAACATATTCAGTGCAGACACTGCACCAGGAAACAACTATTTAAAAATCAGCAACACCCAGTGAAAAGGTTTGACCTCAGACCCCTCTCCCTCCCTTGGAGGCCAGCATAACCAAAGCAGCTTGTTTGCAAGAGCTTGCTTTCCTACTCAGAAAATCAGCACAGACAGCCCTGCCCTCCTCCAAGAGTCTTCCACACTCAGGAGGCTCTTGCAAAGGTAGGTGTTAAGGTAAACCAATTGATCAATGTCAACACTCATGACTGTTTTTAGAAAAGAGGGCAAGACAACATATGTGAATACTCACTTTGACGAATCTATGAAGTATATTACAAGTGCACCAATGCTGAGAGCAAAGACTAAGACAACCTGCAAAAGAAGAGAGAGAACGTCATCACTTAAGAGCTGAACACTGGGCTGTTGATTTATTTTCCAGACACATGTAGCTGCTACTCGGAAACGTGGTGCTTTCAGGGGCGAGCTTGTCAACGCCATCCCCTGGTTGGGCCCACTTCTGCCTGCTGTGGGCTCCTTCCCTCACAGTGGACAGCAACCCTGCGGCTGGCCAACAGGGGTCAGGGCAGGCTTCTGCATCCCCTGGCACTGTGGTTTTCTCCGGTCCTGTTAACTCAGGGTCCAGCTTCTCCACATCTGAAGTCAACACACTTCAGTGGGCAAAGTGCAGGTGAAAATTTGCAGTGATACCATTTTTCATATTCCGCATAACCAAGGCTCAACAGGAACCCAAATACAGGGCTATCCTGTTGTACCAGCTTTGCTGAGGTATCATTTACACACCATAAAATTTACCCGTTTTAAGTGTACAGTTCAATCAATGACTTTGAGTAGATTTACCAAGTTGAGCATCCAGCATCCTAGTCTAGTTTGAGAACATTTTCCTCAGCCCAGTAAGATTCGTCATGTCCGTTAGCAGTTAATCCCTGCTACCATCCTCAACACAAAATGAACACTAATTTACTAATTTACTTTCAGTTTCAATAGCGAGAAAAATTAATTGAAAAGCACAAATGAGCTATCCGTACAAATGTCCATATGTGTGTAAGCGTATGCATGCATGTTTGTACTCACTGCATGAATGTGTGTGTTTGTGTGTTTAGGACACTTCTCAAGTATTCTGGAAACACTTTAGGGGCAGGAAGCCAAAGGAGGTAATACAACAGGCTAGGGAGATGACAACCCTCATTTTTCTTTACACTCTTCACTCAAAGTTAATCACCATTGATACAAAAGACAGTGTTGGCATCCCCTCAAAGGATACCTGTCTCGCTGAAGTCCATCAAACGAACACGCAGCCAATTAGGCTGATGCTGACTGGCTGATACTTCCACCCTCACTCAACATTGTAACGTCTGCGTTTACTCTTTCATGGAGAAGACTGGTAGCACAACTAAAAGGATGCACAAAAATTTAAAAAGAAGCCCAGAGCCAACAAATAAGCCTGAGAACAAAAAACAAACACCACCACCCCACACAGTCCCAGGAGGCAATAACTACCTAGTAGATAGACCAGTATCCTAGAGAGACGTGGGGTGAAGCGTGTTAGAATGGCCAGCCTCCAGCAGACCTACACATGGACAGCCCCGTGGCACTGGCTGGTGGGTAGAGATGAATCCCAAGTTCTGTGAAGATGAGGCATGATCGAGTCGTGCGTGTGTGCGTGTGTGCGTGTGTGCGTGTGTGCGTGCACCGAACTGGCTGATAGAAAGTGAAAGCTGCGTAGATATTCACTTAAAACCCTACAAATTTCACGGAACTACACAGTGTTGTGTCCAGTGCATAGATGGTGGGCTGCAAAGCAAACAACTGGCAGTTGAAACAACTCTCACTATAAGGAATATGTGTTTTCATAGCATCTGAATTCTCCTTACGGACACCTGTGTTACAACAATGCACCATGGGGGCTGATTTTATTCATCCATTTTGTTCTAAAAACTCAAGCAGGCTCCAGCTGAATCCAAGGAAATTCCTGCTGCCTATCAGTGATTATCCTCAGCCCAGGGTTAATCCATGTGGCAGGGTCACCTCAGTCTCTCCCCCGCCACCACCCGCCTCCGCAACACATACATTCATTCGTTGCAAAGGTAAACACAAAAACAAATAAAAACAAAAACAGGCTTCTGCTCTTCCCTCTGTTATCTGAATGAGGCAGCAAATCAAACAGCTGAGGATTAATTCTGACCTGTGCTGCTGTCTCTGAGACATAAGCACTTAGATCTGGGCCCTGACCTCATTCTCAAAACGCTGCAAAGAGAAGGGGTGTGGCCAGAGCAGAGGGGAAGGACCTCTTCTTCATTCACAAACAGCGAGTGCGAGACTGATCTCTGTCGATTCGGTTGTGTGTGTGTGTATATCTATCTGTATGTGTGTGTGTGTGTGTGTGTCTCTGTGTGTGTGTGCATCTGTGTGTGTGTGTGTGGATGCCCAGCTCCTGTCAGAATGCCCTATGCAAGTCTAGGCTGTTCTAGAGCTGGAGAGAAGATGCAGGGAGAGGACAGGAGAGGACGGGAGAGGTGGGAGGAGAGAGGGGAAAGAGGAAAGGAAAGGAGTTCTTGCAAATCATATCTACATCATCCGGAAAGAAGCTCCAATCTAAGCTCTTCCACATCATTGAGGATTTCCCAGCAGACAAAGTAGCTGACACGTGAGTCCCAGCTGCCTCAGCTGGCCTCTGCGATGGGGACTAATGTGCAGCTTATTTAACCAAATCAGCCAGTGACTGAAGCAGAGGGCTCCTCCCAGCCTCTTCAGACACAAACACCAACAGCAGGATTTCTCAGATTGATTGGGGAAGGGAGGGAAGAAATCCAGCAAAAAAAAAATGACTCCAAAGTTCCCAGCGGGTAGAGATTCTGAGGAGTGGACCTATTCTTGGGTCCACACGTTCGGCCAGAAGGTTTTCTCTCAGTGAAGTACAGGGTGTCCAGACTGTCCCACACCATCCCTGCCCACATCTGCCTCCAGGCACAAAATGATCAATGTGACCAGGGGGGTGGGTGCGGGGGTCTGCTTCTCAGTACTGAGTCAACCATGCATGTGATTTTATAAACTTGCTCAATGGCTCTTTATCACATCAGGCTTGATGACACTGTCTATCTGCATCCAGGTGCTGCAGAAAAGCAATCAGCCCTTTGGATTTGGCCATGAAAACAGAAATCCAAGAGAGATAAATCTTCTTCAAGGCCCCAGCATAGGACTAGTTCTCTCTCTCTCTCTCTCCCTCCTTCGTTCATCTCTCATCTCCATCCCTCTAACACCCCGTTGTCTGAGAACCCTCCTCTAAGTATGAAAAAATTCAGCCCCACTACACAAAATGATCAGATTTTAGCCTAAGTGGTTAATGGTTTTGCTACAGAGCAGCCCCAAATAATCAGCTAAGTATTTATTTCACATTTGCTTTGCATAAGGCCCTGGGAAAAACAAGAAAAGAAGTCCACTTGGAGTCATAAAATAAGCTCTTTCACACAGTAACCCTCACAGAGGTGAATCCCATGCTGTTATGTAATTAATGCTCAATTGTATGGTGTCAGTGGAGTCAGGATATAGTAACTTACTAACCAGGTGGGACCCGCATAAAGGAAGGGCAGGAAGAGCATGGGTTCCTGTCTCAGCCAATTCCTTCTCTAAGTGTCCCTTCCTCCGACATCTTATGGCTACTCCAATATCCCTTCAGGAAGGGGAGGGCCACTGGGAATCCTTCTGTGAGCTTCTGTAATCCCAGGGATAAGAGGCACTGTAGCCCCAGGGACACGGTAAGATGAGGCCAAGAAAAACACGACCCCTGAGAAAGGGAAACCCTCAGCCCCCCAGAGCTGAGTCGCCGAGTACCCCTCACAATGACCGAGCGCTGCACAAAGCACTGCCACCAACAAGAGCGTGTGAGCAGTCTGGCACGTGGGGTGATGTGAGCGGTCCCTTTCGGCACACTTTGTGCCTGCCACGAGAGAGAGCCTGTTCCTGTCTTCCTCACTTTTCAAAGTCTGGGCTTCCCAAATCACCTTGGCTGCCTGCATGGTGTTAACTGCCACATTCCTGGGTTTAACTGCAAGACCGTGTGCTGTGTGGCGAGAACGAGTGCTGAGTGCTATTTACAGGAGTGTCCGGTTCCTGAAAGCAAAAGTGATTTGATAAATGACATTGCAGTGATGGTGCCCGTGAGTCATCTATTTTTAAAACTCCAAGATCAAACATGTGTTTGCACAGAAGAATGCTAGGCACACAGACACACACACTCACACACAGAGCGTACTAGAAAGAGTATCTGTCCCCAACACCTGCCGCCAGGAGTCTGATGATACGCGGCGAGCAGAGAGAAGGCCACAGCCATCTCCATGGATGGAAATTCCAGCAGGCCTTGCAGACCTTCCAAATGTCTTGAGAAGTTCATAAAGATGGAAGACAGTATGGCACAGCGGAGTATCCTCCCTCAGGTCACTGGAGCCCCCCCACTCCCCAGGGCAAAGACGGGTCCACTGACGTGAATTCAGAGGCAAATGAACCAGGAAAAGAGGCTCTTCAGAGACCTTGCCTGTTCTAGAACCTGGTTTCCAGTTGTGGGATTCAGGCCCAAATGCTTTCGATCGGCACACGAGGTGACAGGGGCCTTCGGACGTGGATTTGGAGCAGAGGCTCACAAAGGCAGCTGCCACTGGAATCCTACCACCTGAGGAGCTTTCCTTTAAGAACAGAGACGCCCTCGCCTCACCCCAGGAACAGAAAATTGAGAGCTGGGAGGAGCGGGGACTGAGTATCTCTATTTTTAATAAGCTCCTCCAGTGAAGCTGATGTGTGGCCAAGAATGGGAGTCACTGAATTAAACCCATTAGGGGAAACCACTTAGCTAGAGTCAGAGATTAATTTACAAACGTCGCCTTCACAATTAGCCCATTAGAACATATGTATGGGGCCCACAGGCTGTGAGAATCGTGCTAGGAGTGCTCTAAAAAGTAGAGAGGAGGATGAATTAATTCTCTTCTGAGCAGGTCTCACACATCCTGCTCAGCTGACAGCAAGACAAGTGGCCCTAATTAATGATTCTGCCTGTCTGATCAGGGCCCAGCCAGCTCCTCAGAAAAATGGACAATTTTTGATATAGGATCCCAAAGGCATGTTACTTTTTTTCACTGAGGTATATACAATAAAATTCACCATATAAAAAAACAGACACGCGGGCTCCCGAGGCAAAACGATCTGGGGATGTTTTGTTGCGGAGCGAGAACAGAGTTTCGGCATCCAAATGATAATGTTTCGTCTGCTGAATTTAACACCTCGACAATCAGCCTTTACTGAACTCCACTGCACAAGCCCAGAGGGAGAGAGTAGGAAATAGAAAACTGAAAGAGCTAAGTCAG